CGAGTCCTGCAGTGGGGTCCTGCATCCTGCCTGCCACAGCACACATTGACAGTTGTACACAGTATCTCCACTAATACTGAATATTCACACCAAAACAATCTGGATAAGAATCACTACGGGGCAGAAGAATAACATGAATATTAAGTCTTTCTCAAACTCTTGTCATGAACTTTGCGATAACTCTGGCACTGGCGACTCTCAGCTGCCACTTCATTACCTCCCCTCTGTACAGCTCTCTGCATGCAGCCTTAGCTTAATGGTCTCTAACCACTTTTGCTTGTTTCAGGCCGTCCTTACCACCGTCACTTTCCGTATCTGCCCTGTTTGTAAATTTCTTACTCTTTATAAAGTGTCTGCAGAAAGATTGTCACGTTTGGGAATCTGTCTTTTTTCAGTGCATAAAGCCCCTGAATATTAATGCAGCAAAGTCCTTCATTTCACCAGCAAAAGCAGACAAACAGAGAATGAAAACATCCATGTTATGCATAAACAGCTCAGTAATTACTTGTGAATTTGGCAGTTGCGAATCAATTAATGTGAAGTTGCTCTGAAGTGCACTTAATTTTAGTAGAATCCAGAGAGGGTACTTCCACATGCATGCATGATAAATTTTGGCCGTGCTGATACGCTGGTATCCGGATCTGTTTTTTCTCTCCTTCAGGATTGTGTGATCCTCTCAGATTTCTTTCACCTGCTGGTAATTGCTTCATTCTGCGATTAGCCCTAACCTACGCCCCGTTTCCTAATTAAACTTCTTGAACGACTTCTCCTTTTGTCAGATCTTACCTTTGGTTTCTGCATTTTTAAGCCATTTTCTGTTTTTGTCATCATTTCTTTACTTTGTGACCTTCCTCTGTCTCCTGTGTGCTCTCATCACCCTTCATGACTAAAATAATCCTTATTTAGCTTATACTGGACCCTTAGATCATTATTCACCTCAGACAAATTGTCTTTGCTCTCTTCCTCCTGTCTGTCTGCTGTGATGGTGTGTGTCAGACTGGGAGGGTATGGAGTCAAACCTTGAACTGTGCCTTGTTTCCAATCAGTTTTTGCCATATTTCACAACTCGTGTGATGTCAGCAGGAAAGACGGTGCTGATTACCAAGACCGGGGAAAAGAATGCGAACCTGGACCTACCTACATGAAAAAAGTCATTGCGTATTTGCTTTGTGATGTTTACACAACTTTCTGCTGGGAAACTGGAAGCTGTCCTATCTCAGGTGTCCCACATTATCTCACATTGTTCAAGGGTTGTACTCTGTCCATTATTCCTGATCTGAACCAACACCCTGAATAGTCCATATCAGGTCATGAGCAGGCTGTTGTTGTGTCATAGGCCAACTTCCGTCTGATTGGCTGTCAATCGGGATCAAAACGGCAGGTGGGGTCTTCACAGCTGACAGCTGGAGGTGTGGCCTGACATCACAAAGGAACACGTTCTCTTTCTGCCATGCTATCAAACCAATCAGACCTGGCATAAAATAATCTGATCATCTAGTAATATAAGTACATAAATTAATATCCTTCTCCACCTTCAAAACAATCACCATCACCAAAACTTCGTCCATGTAAAATGTGTTTATTTCGACCTTTTTTAGAGAACTTTCAGGTTCAGGTTTATACATTCTGAAGCTTTGCTTTCTGGGATCAGTCTCATGCAGTTCCTATTTCTGTACACCTTATCTAGCCTTGCTGTGGCCTTAGCAAAGGCACGCGGAAGGTGAGAAATGGCATCTGAACAGGTGTAAATCACAGCAGCGATATTAAGCCTTTGATTTACAGCCCTCGCTCCCTCTGAAGGAGGAAGAGATAAAGACATCAATCATTACCTGTGGGCAAGGGTTTGGTTTCTTTATACTTGTCTTCTTTCAGGTACCTCATCAATATTTTTCTTTTCTGCGTGATAAGGTGGGTGGAATTATTGCTTAGCGGGAGTGCCGTGACCCCACAGACACTATGTAGGTGGGCCTGGTGTTATCTGAATGAACTCGGTCAGCTCGAACGGCACACAGCGTGCTCAAGCTGTGAGCCTTGACATAGCTTCACGTTGTGTGCTCAGCTAAGAATTTTATAAATGTGTAGCTATTTATTCAAAAGCCTTTTTTAATCCTGCCATTTGGGGTCAAAGAGGGAATCTTGAACTTGCTTTTTTGTGTGACCAAACTCCGAAAATATTTCATCTAAAACTACAACAAAGACAGAAATCAGAACATTTAGGATTCTGGAATCACAGACTGTGTAAATGATTTAAATGTGAAATCATTTAGACAGTGAATTTTCTCTTTATTGATTGATTACTCTACTAATTTATCAATAAAATGCCTGTGAGCTGGATGAAATAGGTCGATTTTAGGGTTAAGTGTGCACGAACAGAAAAAGCGGGACTCTTGTTAGAGAGCGATGTGCCAGATTTTTGAAAGGTTATTTTTGGCAAATTATGCAAACTTTCCTTTGGATTTTTTTTTTTTTTGTACATCTGTAGGCACAGTTTTTATGTCCAGGTGTAATCATTGACCTTTCATTTATTTGTATGCTTTAAAATAACTGAACGTGACAGCCCCCAGGTGTTTCAGGAAGGCTACTGAGTGCTGAGATCTGCTTTAGAAGGACTGAACTGAATGATGAATTGCACTGGACTGTAACATGCACGCGTCTTCAGCATAAGTTGCCATAGTGATCTAGGTTAGAAAAACAGAAAAGCTGCATTAGTGACACTGAAAATTGCTTTGGGCTGCATTCAACCTCAACAAAACCAGCTGTTACGTCCCCGTAGCAGCTTTTTAGAACACACGTCAGTGCTGGTTTACATTTCCTGAAAGGCGCACCATAATGTTGCTCCTTGTTTTCAGATTGAATGTGCCTTGCATTGTGAGGTGCAACAAAGGGACCATAAAACCCTTTATAGAGTTTGTATGATGAGCGTGTTCACTCTGTTTACAAATCCAGAGTTGTGCTTTCGTTGTGAGAAACGGTGAAATGAAAGATCTGACTTCTATTCTTTCTTTCTAAAGGCCAAAACAAAGCATTCAGAATGTTTCACGCAGTCAACAGCTTCCATGGTTCACCTGGTCAGTTTTGCCCTCCAGGCCACAAAAGCTGCTTTCACTGCAATCGTTGCTCTAGCTTCTTTTCCTCTTACTCACCCGTTGGGTCATAAAATATCAGTTAATGGGGTTTCAGCACCTAAACTGACATCTTGAAATGAAAACTCGTTTCATGAGTAATATTTTGTCTTTTTATAGACTTTTATTATATTTGACTTCCTGCCTGTGCTGTAGTAAACAGTCTGTTTCATAACAGACTTCAGAGGATGGTGCATCCATCACTGATCAAACCCAAATTTCACACTTCCTTAAAATAATTCTGTTCTCGTCTTACTGTCTAACACTTGGGAAGCTGCACATGCAGTGAGAGCCTTTGCTCAGATTTGCCTGCAATGGGAAAAGGTGATAGAGGCAAGAGGCGAACAGAAGAACTTGTGAAGAACACATGAGTTTCTCTTTGGCAACCTTTTGATGCTGATGTCTAACACAAGTGATTATATATAACGATATAAATAATCCTAGAAATAAAAAAAATGACCATCAGATTTTAGTGTTTTGTGCAGATGTTGCTCCAGTGCTTTTCTCAGTCTTGCATGCTGAGTTCTCGGTCTGACCCTTGCAGGTGCTTTTTGCTATGGAGAGTAGCAACAGTCTCCATTTTTCCATTTCTTATTCTTATTCGCTGCTTTGGATCATTTGTGTATCTAAACATGTGTGGCCTTTTTTACCTTTGTGCATCCCTCTAATGCTTCCTGTAAGGTCCTGTGACAGTTGTTGTGATCAACATGTGGCTTAAGGACAGCAGTCGTTAACCTGACTTAATATGGATTTATTTATAGGCAGCTACACCTTTACAAAGCTTTTAGTGGATATTTTAGCACAGGGGTATCAAACATAAGGACCAGGGACCACAATTGCCCAGGTGAAGATTCCAATCCAGCCCAAAGGACAGCTTTGGAACATGTGAAGGAGGAGACCTCACCTGTGGCCTTTCATACTACAATAAAGTAATAAACAATTAAACGACAGAGATGGTCCTGCTTTTTTCACTATGGGCTATGGAAATATCAATTTTATAAATCAGTAATAAAAATAGAAAATTTTCTGTGAATTAACAAAAATGCTCCAATTACAGGATCGTCTGGCCAATCAGCAATCAGAATTTTCTGTAATTTTGCACATTTATTTCTCAGTTTAGGCCCAATGAGTCACTGCTTTTACCTTTACTACAACAGGGTTTCTTTGTCATATAGACATGTTGTTGAACTCAGTCTTCTTTTTCTTATACTGACATGTGTCAGAAAAGAAATGTGTAATTAAACAGAAATGGTACTTTAATCATCTGAGCTGTACATGGCCCACGATGTAAAATGAGTTGCCTGCCTTAGCACACACCATTTATATATTTTCTGGACTGTGATTTCCTGTTGTGTTCAATAAACATATGAAATCTAAAAAGACTAAAATAGTGCATTACTAATAGTCAGATCGGATTTGTTTACGATTAAGATCAACATGTTATCGCTGTAGAAATCCTGAAATCATTTTGAAGGCTTGAGAAGTTCTAGTGAACGCATGTTTGTGATGCATATAAAGTCTTCAGACTAAACTGATTGTATCACAGAGATACCTGATGTAATTTCCAACCTATGAAACCTAAAGACGTAGAATCAGTGTTACTTTCTAAGCTTGCTTGAGGATAGCTTGAGATAAGTTTAGAATCACTAGATACTCTGTCAGTCGAACAATGAAATATGGCTTAACTGACCTTTTTTTTTTTATCACATTCACAAATGTACTTTCACTTTTTAATTTCTTCTTCTACAATAGTCCTAACGCTGCATTAAATTGTTTGTTCAAATGCTACGATGTAACAATAACGTATCAGCCTCATTGGCAGGTGTGACTCTGATGTGTCTGGAGTGCATTTGAAAAAAATTGCATTGCACAGAATCCTCAAGTCAATTTAGTACATTTTATTACTGTTCCACCATTTATACAAGTACATATAATTTTGAATGCATCAATTTCCATATCATCTTTTTGTTTGTTTGTCTGAACGTGTGGTGTGGAAGTAGCAGTGATGAAACATGGGATGAAAATATCAACTGTAGTTGCCATGGATGCAGACTGAAAAAGTATTATTATTTTTTCCACTTGACCAAAAAGACAGGACTACAGGTTCACCCAACCACGGACATGCAAGTTACTGAGTCAAGAGAGGAAGAAAAAACTGAGCCAAGTGACAAGCGGCGCTCCTCGAGTGTTTGTTTCTGCTACGGTTTGACGAGTGCTGGGAGGAAAACGCTGAACGTCACATGGATGGAACTGAAAAGTGGCAGATGGATGGCTGAGATGACTAAATATATATATACATATACTTACATACATGCAAAGGTGGAAAGACGAATGTTGGTTTGAATAAGCCAAGCACAATTTTGGGTTGCTGGTACCTTACTTGACTGTTTTGTGCAAAAGCATTTAGCTCAATAAAGTCGTACTACTTCGTCCACTGTGTTCATCATGAAGTACAATCTAAAATCTGAGCTTTCTTGTCCTTCACGTTCTTCTTTCCATCTGTCCTGCTGGTTTTCTTTCACTGTCATTTCTTCCTTTTTCATCTCATATGATAATCATCAAAATGTTTCTACTGTAGTATCAATGATAAAAATCCCTCCTTTGTTTTTCCTGGGCCGGTGTATTCTATTTGCACTGAGAGTGCTGCATAACTGCACTGTGCGAAAGACACAAGCAGCATGATGCACATGCACACAGGTTTAGTACAAGACAGAGATTTGGGTTACACTTAACCAGTGCATTTAAAAGTGATGGTATGGGGTCCTTAAACGTCCACATGTGACAAGTTAGAACTGTCTCAGTATCACCGTAAACCTGCACATGTGTGAATCTGAATGGGCTGGTTTTTGCTGGTTGCTGAGAGTTTAAGGATGCTCAGCTCTGTAAAATGCTGTAATGTCACCTTAACTTTTTTAACCAGGTAATTCATTAGTAGCGGAGGATGGGTGGAGTTAACACCATGCCGAACAATCGCCACGTCCTACTCGCACAAGTGATGAACACGACTGAAAAACCAAGAATGGAGTCAATACCACAACTGCTGCTTTCTAAGCATCCATCTCTGTGCAAGATTACTCCCACTAAAAACCCTTAAAGGTCTCCATACACGCAATTTGAGCCACACTGTGCAATGTGGTTCTAATACACTTGGGTAAGACGTCATATTTGATGCATACTGTTGTTGGCATACCCACTGGATCATGTGCCATTTATGTCTCTTCTACTTTCTTCTATGCTACATCGTCCTCCCCTCGTCCATCGCAACTCAACCTAAGTCTCTCCTTTGCTGGAATCCTAAAGTTTTGCTGTGGAAGTTTAGTCCCAAGCTATTTTTGTTTGCAGGACTCCACTGCCATGACCAAAGATATCATGATCCTTTCAAAGTCTCACACTGTTTACGGTTTTACACCAAAGTGTTTTGGCTTTTAAAAAAAGTTCCTCAAGCGGTGGAAGCTGGGTGTTTTCAAAAGTGTGCTTGGTGTTTACAGTAAAAATAAATTTGGGTGGAGACATCTATCAATATTGCTAGTTTTTAATGTATCAAAGGTGTACTTTAGTACTTTTCCTTCCACCACTGCACAGATGTACATACATGTAACCTATATTTCCAAACAGTAAAGGAAAATGCACGAATGGCGATAATGACTAAATCAGAGGCTCCCTTCCATGTGCAAGGCCTTTCCTTCCAGCCTTAGAAACATGGACCATATTACACTGAATTGGTTGCTGATGGCTCTGATCGTTTGCTGAAATCCTGCCTCCTGCCTGTTCTTCAGTGGTATCAGACTGTTAGTGGTGGAAAGCTACACTGATTCAAAACCCAGTAAATCAGACCTGGGTCAAACAGCATTGTGAGCGCTCTCGCTTAAGGCCTTTTCACTGCTTTGACACCAAAAGGGTGAGGTTTGCTCAACAGGGCAGACTGCTTTAGTGCTGTAAGGTTTGCTCTGGTAGGCCCATTAAACTTGAATATTGAATATGAAACTAGTTGGATAGTGTCTTTTTTAACTGTTGAAATTTCCGTGTCAGGAGATTGTATGTGAGCATGGAACAATTTTATTTCAAAGTAAAAGAATCCACTGTTGACTTTTTCAGAAACATATTGTGCTGCTAATACTTGAATCGAAAGTGTGTCTTGCAGTCAGTTTTACGCCCTTTTACTTTCGCTAAGGAAATGATTTGTCTTCCAGACAATCACAGGATGTTTGAGTGCCAGTCTTGTCTATTTAGGTTACAAAGACACAACTGAGCATTCACTAACTGAGATCTACCCATGAAGGAGCAAACATCACCTTCTTGGTATTTTAAGCAAGTTCAAACAACCTCTAAGATGTGACCGTACTGTCTACTTCACCCAGGTCAGCAAAAGATATGTCTTTTCAAACAAACAAAAAAAACGTATACGATAATTTTTACTCTAATTTGTCTTCAGATTTTGCTCGAGGACGAGAGGCTTGCATTGAACTTTCTAAGAACATTTTAGAGATCTTTTCAGCGAGGCTTTGCAGATTATCTAAGCAATACAAATGTTAAAAAACCCACTTAGTTTACTAACAATATAGCTAAGGGTTTCAGTACAAAATGTAGAAGTTTATCTGAAAAATCCTACAACTGTTTAATGTCTAATGTTGTTTTTTTCTCTGCAAAGCCCACCTTTACCAACCTTGCGAAATGCCTTAGAAAGCCTGAAAATTCCCAGTCCTCGCAATGAATCTCCAAGTAAAAGCTCTTCAAAGAAAGTGGGATCTTTTTAGAGAGAAAAATAGGAAGCAACACAATCCGACAATACCACACACAATCACGCACGACCACAACCACGACTCCACAGCACTGAAAAGCTGGAGGTACCAGGCCAGAGCCAAAATCACAATATTCTGACGAGGAGGATGAGAGGAAGAGGGAGAGCCGAAGAGGGGACAGATTCGACTTGAGTCCAGCTGGTAAGGTGTTTTCTTAACCTCTCCCCTTCCCTCCATCAGAACCCCAAAATTTAGACGTCCACAGATCGAATGCAGGAGCCTTCTGTGGGCTGACGTGGGAATCAGGCCAAACTTTGTGGGACTGTATGAGCGAGAGGAATGGCGGAGAAATGGCGAGGCGTATGGCCGACATACACTCGTATCAAAGTTCAAATACTACAGCAGAAAAAAAATAGAATAAAACATAACAATAATAATAGCAATAATCATCTGCAGCGGTGGGAAACTTCTCCAGGTGGTTGCTTCAGTCCTCCTCGATCAACAAATCTTCATCATTACAATTATTATTATTATTATTATCATAATATGGGTGGACTAGTAAATTTCTTTCTTTTTTAATCTTCATCGTTGTTGAGTTAGGTAATTTATTTCTTCATTTCCGAAAAGTGGCTGTCCATTAATCTTGAACTGCTACGGTTTGATCCTTGCTTGGTGCCTCTGTGGCGTTTGCCTCCTTGGGAGGTTCGGCGGCTGGTGTTGAACTAGGAGCAGGGGTGGCCTCCTTTGCCGGGGCGGGAGCTGCCGCTGCCTCTGTAGGCTTGGGGTCAGGGGAGGCAGCGGGGGCCGCTTCGGCTTTGGCTGCTGGTGCCGCAGGGGCCTCAGTCTTTTTGGCGTCGGCCTCATCTTTGCTCTCGGCTGCAGGGGTGGGTGCCGCGGCCTTAGCCTCGGCTTCCTTCGCGGCCGGGGCAGGGGCGGCTGGTTTCTCCTCGGCCTTGGCGGGCTCTGCGCTCTTGGGCGCCTCCGTTTTGGGCTCAGCGTTGGCGGCAGGTTTCTCTGCCTCCTTTGCGGCAGGAGCTGCGTTCTTTTCCTCCTCTTTGGGTGCCGCGGCATCAGCTGCTGGCGCCTCCTTGGCTGCTGTGTCATTAGCTACCTCCTTAGCATCACCGGCAGCTGGAGCCCCGTCTTTGTTGTCTTTCGGTGCTTCGCTCTCCTCTGCTGAGGCCCCCTCGGCTTTGGCATCCTTGTCTTTAGCCTTGTCATCGTTTACACTGTACCCCTTCTTCTTTTTGCTGAGCTTGCCTCCCATTTTGTATCACTGGCCTCTGAAAGAGAAGGAAAAAATAAGACTTTTAGTAAAAGTAGATATTATATCACAGAGAATGCATTTGGGTAAAAATGCATTAAAGCTATAGCAAAATGTATTAACAGCATGTCAAACAACCCTATGGCATTCTTTCTGAGACGTATGTGTGTTGTGTTGGAGAGATATCGCCTTAAGTTAAAACTAGGCTGGGTTGCACTTTCATGTAATACCATGTTAAAGCACTAGGAGGTGCAACGAGTCACATTTCCCAGAAATCCAAAATCATCCGCACCAAGTTTTATTCAGGCTAGTCTTAGCTCAATGTTTATGCACTAACAGGAACCACAGAACTGCAAATGGAAGAAGCATGGATCTGGATCATATTAATGAGAAGTGTGAATGGGCAGGAACCCAAACCCTGTAGTGTTGGAAGGCATAAAATCAAAGACCTGGAAGGGAAACATGAGGTGTGTAGATGCATTGATTGACCAGCCAAAGACCGGAAGTTAGATCAGATTCACATTTACTTTTTAATTGGAGTTTTTATTTTATTTTTAGCATTGAAAAATCAAATATTTAAATTTTCTGAAACTATATTTGTTTGGCATGTGGCTAAAATGCAATCTAACCTGAGTCCCAAGAGGTTTGCCAGAATCGGGTGGACATTGAGAGGTTATGAGCTAATCTTCATAAGCTATTGGCCACTGAAAGGTTGTTGTTTTGTTGCACCTTCACTTCTTATTTGAGACAAAAAGTGCAAAATCTGGACCGTGTAATGTGTATGCAGAAGCCATGCATTTCTGGAAAACCAGCTCTCAAATTACATTTTTAATGCATTCTTTCAGCATGACCCACATGCCCCCCAGAGAGAAGCACAGCATGATATTTTCATTTTCCACATATTACAACAGAGAAAAAACTAGATGAAGTAATAGTCATCGGAATAATTGATGTTCACTGTAAGAAAAATGCAGAAGCCTTTAAACTACAAGTCCAAAAAAGAGACCTCGCTCATGTATTCCATCATCCTGGACAACACAGAATAGGCACATCTAGTTTCTCAGCTTTCAGATCAGGGACATCTAATTATAAGTGCACAAAAGAGCTTTCAAAGCTCAGATGCCAGCAGTAAGAGGAAATTCAAATATGTTACTGAGACAACACTCAAATCAAACCGTCTCTTAAGTTCCTCAAATGGCCGCCGAACATGGCTAATTAAATTCTTATCTTGGTTGATGGGAAAGACTATTTTTGCAGAGAAGTAGACATAAAACAGATCTGTGTTTGACTGGGTAAAATAATAGTTGCTGTTTTAGTGTGCAGAATGAGATTTCTGGGGTTAAATCTTCTCAGTGCAGAGATTAGTATCCTATGGGTAGTGATAAAGCGAGAGAACCGATACCAAGTATGAGTTTCTGTAATTCTGATTAACACAAATTAGCCATACAAGTTCTGCAGTTTGTCTCCCACCTGACTGAAATGTTTTCAGTCTTTAGAATGACCAATCAGTTCATTAGCCTCATATCACCAGTAGGCACACTCCTCAACCTTCTAGCCGCCTGAGTAAGATGTTATCATCCTAGTGGCTCCATGTTGTAGTGATTAATGCATGCACCTTACTCATGGCAGACAGATCCCTGGTTTAAGACCAGGAAGAGACACAAACCCAGCCTCAGGGGGTCACGAGACAGTATGCTCCTGGTGCTGATCCCAAGACCGGAGTAATGGAAAGGTTGTGTTGGGAAGGGCAGCCAGTGACAAATCAGACAAGTTAATCTGTCCCCTGTGCTGACTTCAGAAATAAGTGATCAGCTAAAAGTTAACTCTTTGTAGGATAAAATAGTTTTGAAACATCCTCAATACCTGGAGAAGAAGCTGTCATCTTTTCTTAAACCCAACCAACCCAACCAACCCAAAACCCGATGCAAGATACTGGATGTCAAACCTAATGCAACACAAACTAAATCCAACAGATGAGCCTTGAGAAAACTATGAACACTGCCTCATATTACAGCTCCTGCATATGAATCAAATGATAACAGCCTCAAAAGAAGGTCACCAACTACTGGTGCAGCACTTTTTTGCCCGATAACAATTCATAATGCGAATACAATATTGGTTGATAATGTATGAAATGGGTTATCTGTCCTTGATCATGTATCTCATGAAAATTAATGATAATAGAATAATATATAGCACCTGGTAGAGAATTTCTTTCCTTATTTTCTGTCATATATCTCATCCCAACAGTGGATTAATTTGAAAACATGGTCAAAACTTCAATGTAATCCTTTTTAATAAAGCCTGACCCCCTGCCACCTTTAAGATGAATCTTTGGGGCAACAAAACTGGCTGATGAACGTTTTCATACCCAGCATTTCTACATTCAAGTTATTCATGAATAAATGAAAATCTCAAATTGTACTGCAGGAAATTCTATCATCAGGATGGAATATTTCCTTGAAATACTCAACCAGGATGTGAAGCACACAGGGAATCTATAAAAAAGGCTGGTTTGGAGCGCTGTAAATCACCAGTCACTAAGCAGGCAGAGAAATGTGTGTGTGCAGGCTCAGTACACACTCCCACCCCCATAGACACACACACCTGCAGATTCCTGGCTCGGTCTTTCAGTTGAAGATTTTTTTCACGAGTGTCACCATCTGCCTGCTTCATAGGGGAGAGGACTTCAATGCCACAATGAATCAAGCTTATTAGGAGCAAAGGATCAAAGATGGAAGCGTGTCGGATAAGATCTCTCTACGCCGATGATTAAAATAGAGAAAAAGAAAGTCGTAATTTTATTAAGCTATTCTTCTTAAAGCAGTTTGAATTCATCAGTGTATGTGGAATATGCAATTCAGCTGCCTTACCAACAAGGTAACGGATAAAGATCACCATCTTAGAAACTTAAATCAAGAGGCTATGTTACGTTACGTGTGCAGAAGTTTGCGTTGCCTTTTGAGTTTTACCTCCAGCAGAATGTTTTTGAATTGGCTGAGCAGTAAAAAAAACCCCAAATAATTCTTTTCTTTTTAAATGATAAAAAAACTGCCCTCTGTTACTGAATGTCTCAAATGGGGCCATGTTGACGGACCGACTTCACAAGACCTTTTTATTATTCCTCAGTTATGTGGTTAACGCCAAGGCGTCCTCTTTGTGCTGCCACTTGTAAAAGTGTGAAATCTGTCAAAACGGCTCTGAACGCAGACGTGACCTTTTCCTCCCAAACAAACCCGACCACTGAGAGACTCTGCCGGCTACTCACAAATTTGCCCTGCGAACGGGGCCGAGCTGACGGTGAATCCACTCAAAATGCTAATCGCCTTGTCGCCACTGACTAAATTACTCCACTATTCACGCAATGTTCCAGCGGGCGTCCAACAGTTGGCATCTGCCAGGGCCGCCGTTCCTGCCGCAGCTTTATACGACCCACAATGCAAGTCTCTCTGCCGCATCACATCATTTGACTCCTGGCTTGTGCTGCCAGTACAATGACTCATGATCATCATGCAAACAATGGCTATTCACACGAAAGGCACGCTTTCTCACTGCTGGGCGTGTGGTTTTAGTATTTGAAGAGCTGGGGCAGGGCTGAGACAACCAGGAGAAAAGGCCCCCAGCTGACAAAAGACTTAATTTAACCTGCACACTGCAGTCACAGAAGCACAAAAGCAAGTGTGAATGGTCCGTTATGACCTTCCAACATGGCTTTGTGTGGACAATAACATCAGTGCTTAGGAAAGGTGGCCACTTCTATCTTAGTGGCTTGAATGGAAGTAAAAAATGAGCAACTAGAAGGCAGAGAGCAAAGGTCCAAAAAACACTGGACAAACTTCCAAGCCACACATAAAAAGAGAATCCTTTGTTATTTTTATCAGTTCATCTTTACGCCGATTCCTTGACCTTTTATTTCACACTCTGCAAGGATTTGGAATCAAGTATCTCAATCCACTTAGACACACTTTCATTGTTACGGTTGTAAGAAGCTAATCTTCTAACTGTGGAAATCCCTGATCTCATCACTGTGAAATCGCTTCTTGTGCTCTGACCAGGGTTGATCTGCATTTCCAAATTTCATAACTGTGTTTCGAGATGAGACTTCACTGGCTTAACTGAAAATGTGTTTAATAGGTGAAACTTTAACCTTTGCGACAGACTAAAAACGCGACAGGGAAGTGAAGGGTACTCACTACATCTGGGGACTCCTACAGTCGCTCAACAAATTGCCATCATTGGATTCTTTTATCTTTGCCCAACAGGAGTCATCCCAGGACTCTGAATAATCTGATGATCCTTCATGACCAAGAGTGGGGAGTTAAAAACTCATTTTTAACAGGAAGAAGCCTCATGCAGGGGACGGCCATATGCCGCAGATGGTTGGGTGAGGGGAAAGGGAAGAGTGTAATTTTACTCTCAAGTTACTGGAATTGTTCAGTCTTCGCCACTGTACATTTGTTTCCAGAAGATGCTGACAAACAGCAAAAACAGGCTTTCAAGCTCAGCTAAAGTCAAATTAAAGACGCTATTGAAATCCCATAAAAGACCCGCAGTCAGCATGTTTAAAAAGCAGCCCGTAGAGACCTCAGCGAACGTCGATGCATCTTTCTAAGGTCCATTTATTCTTCCTGAGACTGCACACACCCAAGATTAACACACCTGCGCGTTTCTTCTTCTACTATTCCCCACTGTGTTCAGCAGTTGCCTCCTTTAGCCACAGACTCTCCAATCTCTCAGCCTCTCGAGCTGCTGAGTTAACAATACCCACGATTGATTACGGCAGCGGCGCACGGTGAAAAAGCATTTAAAGATTATTAAGTGACGATCATGTCCGTGTCTGGCGAGTCAAAAAGGCGGCAGAGAGGTTTAGGATGAGCAGAAGTCCCTGAAGGAGCAGATGGCTGAGCTTCTCCAGCTCTCACCATCTCTGGCGAGTCATCTGTCACGCCCACACATCGACACCACTGCTCAGCTCTGCTCCACTTTTTCTCTGCATCATCGCTCCAGCCTCCACTTTTC